CTCAGCTTTATAGAAAAAAATCAATGAAAAACTGTCGACCAACAAAATAAAATGAAGTTCAGTTTCAACTAAAAATCATAAAAACTATGTATACACACATGACACATTTGTTTGAAAACATATAAATGTTTGAAAAACATACACACGCACACATGTTCGTGTGTGTAAGTACACACACAATCACATACATGAAAAATGCAACAAAAAAAAAAACTTCAATAAACAATCAACATTTTTTCCTTAAACCACAAACAAACATCTTAATCACATATTAAACTAATTTTCTAACTGCGACTGTGGACGACTTTGATAGAAACCGAAAGTTGGGTTCCACTTTGGTATGAAAGGTAGAATATTATTTAGCAAAGAGTTTTGAGAAAGAAGAAAAAGATAAATAAAGAAATGCCATCGATATCATCGTTGTTCCATGGTTGACATGGAACACCATTTATGAATATGAGGTCTCATTCAAATTTTGTCCAAAAAGTATATTTGATTTCTTTAATCATTAATGAATATATATTTTTTATATATATAACTAATGAAGTAGGACGTTGATCGTTAGAGGTTAGGCTACAAAACAAATGAAAACCGACCCACAAATTAATCAATTTCGAAATGATGATGACATGAATTCGTATAACTTTTCTAGTGCCGTCTTTGCCATGGAAATTTCTTCTATACTTTTTTCGTAGATAAGAATTAATATAATAAGATACAAAACAAGTTGTCGATTATATTACTCCTTAAATCAAAAGATGAATCATATTCATTCATCCAACTACTGATCATTACATTGAAAGTAAGAGATGACTTAGATCATTTCCATTCAAAATAAGATAAAATAGTGAGAAATTCTCAAATTGAAATTACTTTACATCGTGGCCCTACTCGACAATCTAACTATTTTTCTTTCAATACTATAGCTATATACTCATGTTTACTAGTAGTATATTGTTTGGAGTGTGTAATGTGTCACCAAAACTATTGTATTGACTTTTGCGAAAGCTGACTCACACAACATAGAAGGTTAAGCTCTTTCCATGACGATGTAGCCCACTTTCTTAATTATCACATTTTAAAATAGCTAAAATATGGAAGACAAAATGTAAAAGCCAGTTCAAAACACGTCTAAATTTTAATAGAATAATTTTCTAAAAAAAAAAACGTCTAAATGAATTTATAAAAGTCAAATATAACTATGTGATCTAACTAATATATTATATGAGCATGTCACCTGGAAGTATACGTTATAATGTGAACTGTATATATACATAAAATTTTAGATTAGCTAATTATAATCGATGGTTTAAAAATTCGATAACGTGTATAATGGAGAGTATTGTATGATATTATAAAAAAACAAAAGAAATGAAAGTTGAGGAAAGTTCCAAGTTGTGGAATCAAATTCACGTGTTGGAGAAGGGGAAAAATAAAGGAGAAACGGTCCCCTCAGTGGGCCCATAATCGGCCCAAATAATATTGTTCCATTTAAATAAAAACAAAAATGAAAATAAGAAAAGGGGAATGGAATGTGTGGGCCCGGCGGTGCGATGCTGATGTGTGTTGTGTATTGTTTTTAATGTTTTTGAAAATATTAAATTACAAGAGATTTTTTAAATGCCTAGTTTGGCTTTTATGTCTTTGTCTTGTGGACTCCACTTTTAAGATTTGTTCCCTAAATAAAATAAGCTTATTTTTCTACCGACAATGTCCTTTCACCATTTGTCCTCCTTCAATTACCAATTTCCCAAGTTCACTTTGGTACATAAACACACAAATCGTACTGCTACTATAATTTATGATAAAAACTTTTTTTCTTACACATAGTTGCGTATTGCATAGGTTTCTCAAACAAAAA